TCCTCCAGCTAGATACCAAGGTATTTATACTGTTCTTCTCTCTCTATGGATGTACCATTTACAGCATCCTTTTTTTTTGTCTGAGTTCACTACTAGCTTGTGGATATGTTACAGTGGTGGAAAAAAGTTTTTGGACACCCTTAAAATTTTACACAATCTCAAATATTATCATGAAATATTTGTGGAAATTTTTTTTTTGTGTTTCAAAAGGTGTGACTGCATTAGACAGATACAAACAAATACAAATTATATTTTTTTGTTTATTGTTTACAAGAAAAACTAACAAAACTTGACAGTCAAATTCTTGACAGTTTCAATAGGTCAGTTCTCAACATTGTCGGTATCAAAGTCAACAAATAACAGAGAATGTGTTCGAAACTGAACAAAAAATAAATAAACCATCACATCATCAAATTAATATTTAGTAGTCCTGCCATTGGCATGTAGTAGAGCTCTAATCCTGGCTGGCATGTTCCCCACGAGCCTTTCACACTGTTGAGGGGTAATCTTGTCCCATTCTTCTTGAATTATTGCTTTTAATTCTTCTAAATTCTTTGGTTTATGCTTTGAAACAGACCTTTTGATAATCCACCACAGATTTTCAATGGGGCTCATGTCCGGGGATTGAGCTGGCCACTCTAAGACCTGGATACTGTGCTCCTGCAGCCAAGTTCTACTGGCCTTGGATGTGTGGCAAGGGGCATTATCTTGTTGAAACATCCAGTTTTTACCTCGACGGAACAGTGCACGCGCAGAAGGGAGCATGTGGGTTTCGAGAATGGTACAATACTTGGTAGAGTTCAATGTGCCATCACAGACAGTGAGATGACCAACACCAGCAGCACTCATGCGTCCCCAAACCATGATACTGCCTCCACCATGCTTGACAGTAGGTACTGTACATGCTGGAGATAATGCTTCGCCTGGCCTTCTGCGTACCCTCACATTAGTAGGAGGAAGATAAAGCTGGAAACTGGATTCATCTGACCACAAAATCTTCTTCCAATTCCTGGCTGTCCAGTTCTTGTGTGCCTGGGCCCAACGACGCCGGGCTAACCTCTGTCTCTCATTGATCAGGGGCTTCTTGATAGCCTTGTAGGACCTTAAGCCATGATCTAAAAGTCGGCCACGTACAGTGCGGGTGGAACACTGGACACCAGTTTGGTTTGACCACTGCTGCTGAAGCTCCTGTGATGTCATTCGGCGGTTTTGCCTGCACATGCAGATCAGGATGCGGTCATTTCTTGCTGAAGAAACCCTTGGACGCCCAGATCTTGGTTTGTCTTCCAAGCTGTTGGTTCGTCTGTATTTCTGCAGAGTGTATCCAACTGCTGAAGGACTGCATCTGCACTTCCTGGCTATCTGGCGGCAGCTGTACCCTTCCTGGCTGAGAATCTTTATCTTCAGGCGTGTTTCCTGCGTTAGGTTCCTTGTTTTAGCCATTTTTGTGTCTGAAGAACTTTCAAATGTGCTGGCTTTATGTAGACACGAAGCTTGGCAACAAAAATTGTGTCTTTTAATAAAAAGAACGACCTTCATCACTGGTACCAAAATGACCCATTACTCAAAATTTCTTATGTATTTTTATGGAACCAATCAATTTTAAGTTTTTAATGGCTTTTTTAGGATTTATTTAGTATTTTGGCTGTGACTGTACTAAAAGAAATTGCACTTGAAGACCTAAGAGTGATTCTTAATGCAATATTTCACAAATGCATGGGGTGTCCGAAAACTTTTTTCCACCACTGTATTTAAGTTGGAGCGAATCAAAAGACGATTGTAGACATTCAGTGGCTCATTGTGCAGATGTTGCAGATCACTACAAAACAGTGTCATCCACATACCAATGAAATTTAAAGGATTCAGAGGGGAGAGGGGCAATATCATTTATGTAAACTGGAAATAATACTGGCCCTAACACTGAGCCAGTCTATTAGAGATGTAGTTTTCAAACCACAGGCAGCTGACAGAATCAAAACCAATATTGGGAACATTTCTTTAAAAGTAGCAAATGGTCAACTGTGTCAAATGCCTCAGACAAATCTAAAAACAGAGCAGCACAAGACATTTTAGCCTAGTTTCCAACAACACTTTCAGTATTGTACCTTTGGAACCAAAAGTAACCCTTCAGATATGGTACCTAGACCCTAGGTCCTCTTAGCGTTTCCACCACAAACAGTCACTCACTGCTCCGTCCAGCACTCATTGTTTTTCCTCATTACTTGTGATACAGATGGAAGTTCGCACCTTGTTTAACTCAAAGAACGAGGCTGCATGCCGACATTTTCAGAACAAAATTGAACAGGCTGCAGTGAGAGTCTCTCTCCGTGGGATATTTAAAAATAATGGGTTTGTGCATTTAGTCCTTCTAAGGCAAGCTCGGAGGTTTGGTGTTGCCAGAACCCACAGGAACGATGCTCTGTGGTGATTTTTTTTTTCTCCGAGAGAGGATTGGGATATAGGTAGTTCACATAACCCGGTCGAAATTAATCTATATAAATGCTTGAAGATCCACTCATTACTAAAAGTGCATGTCATATAAAAACTAAAGTAATGGTCAAAGTGTTGATGGATTCATGTCATCAGCTCATGCATTGAGTAACATTACAAGTTAACATTCCACTTTAAAAGTCGCCGGCAGTCGGCTCAGTGAATCAAGTTAGGACAGTGTCTTAGGCTGTGTCTGTCTGAAGCTTGATGAGAAGGTATTACTCAGGTTATCCTGATGTTCAAGGCTATGATTCTTTTGATTTGTAGTGGTTTTAAAAAGATGTCCAGAGGCAGCAAAATGACTGTTTAAAAGTCCACTGTGTAAAATGGGTTGAAAACTGTTGAAAACAGTGACATCAGTGGTCAAATTCTAAATTGCAGGGCTCACTCGCTCACCCCTCCCGTCGGGTAAATGATGGTGGCCTCGTAGGGACAAAAAGCCTTGTGCAGACACGAGTTTTTCAGGAGTAGGTCTATCTAGCGATGAGGTGAATGTTTATTTAGAAATCTAAACCATGTTACGATATTGTAATGAATCCCTCACAAGCAGGAGACCAGAGGAGCGTTCGGGAAAAAGGCCAGTTTATTTGAGCACTCCAAAAACTCTGGTAACACTCCAGGGGGTAAAAGACTCCGTCCCAAACTCTGACTCTTCTAGCGTAACATACATACTTCATACACACATACTCGTTTACTATACCTAGCGGGTACCCCCTCCCCTCTCTGCTCCACCAATCTCCAGCCCGCACATTGACTGACAGCGTAGCCTGTAAACAGAGCTCAGCTGTTTATTTAGCCTAGTGATATCTCTGGACTATAGTAGCTGCAGTGGACAACGAGAGTTTCTTGTAGCGGACACAGATCCAGAGCCATACCTGTTTGAACCGAAGTACACAGATGAGGAACTTGGATGCTGAGCGGGCGAGAAGAGAGGCTGAATCCTCCGCTCCCATTTTGCTGCACAGAATGGGATTTGGTGCTACTGCTACCATCGTTGGGGAGATATATCATCAGGAGGAAAAGCGCTGCAGAGAGTGCATCACAAGGAGTGAAGTTGAGTCTTCTTTTCCTCGCAGATGACGGTTCGGGTTCATTCTCTCCTGTTGCGTGGTAAGTGTGGTCCATTCGCAAACTTTATAACTAAAAAAACCTTTCACTACTCTCTATCGACGAACTACTAACACTCTGCTGTTTCTTCCTCCTTCTTCCTTCCTTCCGCTGTCTTCGTTGGTTTATTTATACACGCGAAACGCGTTCTCTGGCTGGCTGGATTGTCCGCTCGGTCTGCCGTACATACATGGCGGCGCAAGATGGCGACCTCTCTAAAGCGAGGCCCTTGCTATATATATACATATATATATATTTATATATATAAAAGCATAATTATAAGGCTACGAAAACCAAATAGCGATTATACACTTATATAAACATATTCATGGGTAGAATATTCAGATTAAGATTCAGATTTGACAATAAACCATGCCAGATATTACACACTGGCCCTTTAAGACAGAGCAGATAAAAGAGTGCGCCCATTATCAATGTTAGGTGGAAAAGAGATCTTTCAAAATTGATTTAACAACCTTTCAAAATGTGCTTTGATCATGAGAGGAGCTGGTGAAAGCGAGTAAAGAGTAGTCTGACTAGTCTGACTCAGCAGCAGTACAACGGGTCTTAAGTTGTTTGAACAAAAGTCAGTAGGAGGGCTTTTAAGACTGCCTCGCTTGAGCGCGAGCTTTATTTTTGGATCAGCTACATCTGCAGTAAACCATGGACTTGACATAGCTTTGATCTTGATTGATACAGATGATAACCAATCAAGGTTGAGGTCACCCAAGATGACTTTCTCAGACGATAAAAAAGGTGACGGCAGATCGGCCAAATAAACCAAGGCCTCAGCTGGGTTTGATGGGTATCTGTAGACACCTACGACTATGAGGGTATTATTGTGACCAAGATCAACTTTCAGAGCAATAAAATCAATTAATAGTGAAATACCCTTTAAAACTGCAACTGGAAGTCACACCACCTCCTCTACCCACACTGTCAATTCAAAAAGTGAGACAAAGAAGAGTAATTAATGACTGGTATTTAGTACGAAGCTGTTGAAGAATGAGTGGCGGTCAGTCAGTGATGTGAGTAGTATTATTATTGACATTCACTTTCACTATTGATACTGTTAACAAATAGAAACAATTCCTTTATAGTGTACCTTTAAATCTAAAATCCCACATTGAGACGTGTGTGTATGACATCATAACTAGTTTGTAAGCCAGTCACAATCCAATATGTGACCTACTGTGATGTAAAAACTTGCTTCATCCTCCAGTGCACATACACTGAGAATGGACTTTTCAGTAAAGTAGGAGACGCTTTTATCAATATTTAAATCTCTGAAATGGAAAGAATATTTGCAAAGATTAGAACATAGTAGGAGAAGATAAAGAAGTCATAACATTTTAATCCATTAAAAAAGTTGTGCGCAACAAAGTGGAGTGACAGGAAAAAAGTATTGAACATGTCAGCTGAAGCGTATTTAATAATTGGAGAAGCTTTTTTTTTGGTGCAAAATTAACACAGTGTGTATGTATATGCTACAAGGGTAGATAGGTGATGTTAATAAATGGAGCCCAACATCTGTGACATGAATTAGTTTAGTTGTTTTTTTAAAGCTATTTGTCTTTCTATTGAAATGTACTGAGAGTAGATGATGCCATTGGGATGTTGAAAGGTTGTTTCTGTCTTTCCAATTCAGTAAAATTGTCTTCTTAGTGATTGTTAGGGCAACCAGTACGGGTTGTTAATGTTTCAGTGGCAGTTAAACTGGTAAGAGATCACTTAGCGCACATACAGAGGGAGAGACTGGAATTCTGTGGCAGATGGTTGAGGATGTTTTGTGTGTTGTGTTTGTCCAAAATGTTTGAATGGGGGGCAAAGCCAGGCAGCATGAAAAGTAATCATCAGCGGTGTTTGACGTTTCACTGTCTGTAAGTCCCATTTTGTGTGGTTTATATTGTGTCAGGTATACTCTGTGTTGTATTGAATAAGTTGCAGTTTAGAGTTTTGGAGTTTCTCTTGTCATGGCACCAGCAGAATCCAAATTACCAATGTAAAGATGAAGACATGTATCGGAAAATTCTTGCGAAAAATCTGTTGCCATCCATCAGGACAGTGAGGATAAGATGACAAAAGAGACTCTTAACTGGTTCCAGAGGATGCTAATAGAGGTGTTTGAATTACCCAGTCAATCACCACATTTAAACCTGATGGGACGTTTGTGGAAGAAGCTGAAGATCCAGAATCACTAGCGGGCCTCCCTAGAATCTTCTAGATTTAAAGACTGTGTGGAAGAAGGGACCAAAATCCCATCAGAACACGGTAAGATAGTAATTTCTTCATACAGGAAGCATCTTAAAAGCTGGCATTGCAAACAAAAGCTTCTCCTTCAATTACTAAATACATTTTAATTAGAATGTTCAGTACATTTCCTGTCTCATTCCACTTAATTGCACAACTTTTTAATGGATTAAAGTGTTGTGATTTTTTTTTTATCAGTGTAGTTTTATTGCACTAGTATCAATGTCTAGTATAAATTTAATGTCAGTAGCTGCATTGGAAATATGTTTACTGAAAAAAAAAAAATGTTGACGTGTTGAATACTTATATCCCCATTTGTATGGATCTTTATATTATGATGTATTTTAAATTGATCCTTTATAAACATTGCTTCCTTCCACTACTAATAAAAGTGGCATTTCACTTTGATAGAACATTTAATTTCTCCTTGATCCAATGAATGATAGTACTTTTTAACCAACTTTAAAGACCTACTTTGCAAATCGTGTTCCTACAGCGTCTACCAACAAAATAAATGCAGACTGAAGAAGCTAGTTTGTAAAAAGGCATGGCTCCTATTTGCTTGAGTCTGGCACTTAATAAACTTCACTCTGATAATTAAAAATATTAGGAAATATCACTTTAAATCTTAACAAGGACCACGTGTTCATTTTACTTCCAAGTCCCACACAGGGAGCATCAAAATGGCCGATACACTCATATTTTCTTACTGAAAATAATGATGAGCAGTGTGACACATTTTAACAAGCAGTACAGGTTCATTCTCTGTGAAATCAAATATTCCACATAAGATTTTCAGTGTCCACCAAGTGTCCAGGAATCATGCTCAGCTGTCAGTCTGGATGTTGTCCCACACTTGGACTACGTCTGGATAGTCACTGAGGGCTTCTATCAGCGTTGAAGCAGCATCTAGCTGATCCTGGTCCAGAGACAAGAGGGTGCGGGGAACATAGTCCAGCCCAGCAGATGTAATCTGCATCCCCAGCTCCTCCAGTGAGGCTCGCACTTTCCTCAAGTCTGTCATGTCACAAATAAACTGAGGACAGAGGAACATATCAAACTATTAGTTAAACTGTGGTGCAGCTACAATTATTATTTTCATGATTGTTTATTTTTAAATGTGAGAAAATAGTGAAAAATTTGTGGATCCAATCACAAGTCCTAAACTCAAGATAGATATGTAATTTAAAATAAATAAATAAATAAAAGGGCATTTTTTTGTACAAAATTTCTGAATATTGCTCATCACAAGTCAGAATGAAAATAGAAGTTGTAATTAATTCATTTAAAATATTATTTTATTNTAAAAAAGAAAAATATATAAAAATATTTTAAAAATCAAACAATAAGAATTTTTTTTAAGTGAAAAAAAATAATGTTTGGCATTTTTTCTGAATAAATGACTGAAACAATTTAACAGACATCTACAGCGGGGACACGTTCCCTCATGCGTCTGCACTGCTCTCCATCATGTCTGACCTGCAGGACGGGCTGCTCCTCCTCATCCTCGGTCTCTTGGACATCTTCAGCTCCCGCCTCGATGGCCAGCTCCAAAGCTCGCTCCGTCGAGATGTTCTGACCCGGCACCACTACCACCCCCCTCCTGCTGAAGTTGTTACAGGCTCCGTCTGACAGCGCTGCTCTGTGGGTGAGTACAGAATTACGCCTCTGTGAGATCATCATACATCATACACTAAAAACTATGATGTGATAATTTCTGTTTGACATAAACCACAATTTTAATTTTAATATGTATTTTCTCATGTCTACAGTATTTTAGCTGTGCTTTTTGCTGCCTTTCATAAATTGTTTGCGTCTGAGCCAGCAGCTTCTTGGTCACAACGTAAGTGTTTGTACAGGGACATCTAGTGGCACCCAACCTCCATTATCAGTACAACATCTTATGTATAATTACGGCATTGTTCCCCAATATTGTCTGGCCTCTTGATCTTCAATGTCAAACAGATACAGTTAAAGGGACAGTTCACCCCCAAATCTAAAATACATATATGTCCTCAGACCTGTAGGGCTATTTATCAATCTAGCTTGTTTTGGTGTGAGTTGCAGAATGTGTATTTTTCATTTTGGGGTGAACTGTCCCTTTAACTCTATGGTTTAACCGTCAGTGGTGTGGTGGTGAAAGCACATGAATTATCTGTGTTTGAGTATTTCAGCGACACAGCAGAGTAAGATCATAGAAAGCCAGTCCTGACCTGTTCTTGATAAGCAGGCGTTTGATTTCCTGGTGGCTGCGTGGGTGGTTGTCAGTCAGGACCTCAATGAGCAGCAGACATCCACCGGGCCCCCGAGCTCCAAATATGTGCTGGGATGCCGGTTTAGTCTTCTCCTGCAGAGCCAAGAGAAAGGACACATTAAACCCATGGTTTCCATTTTTTATTATAACACTGGTAAAGTCATATGGTAATATATAGACCTGCTCCATGTACAGACAGATGACGCATGAGGGGATATTTGAGAGGAATGAGGTTAATCCCTCTATTAGCTTTTCAGAGAATCTATACCAATGAGCAATGACCTGCTGTCATTGTTGCTGTCCTGTGGGATCTCCTCCCAGACCTGGACCAGGGCATTAGTGAGCTCCTGGACGGTCTGCAGCTGTACTTGGCGGTGTCAGATGCACTGGTACACAACATCCCATAGGTGCTCAGTTGGATTTGGGTCAAGGGAATAAGAGGGCCAGTCAATGGCATCAGTGCCTTCGTCATCCAGGAACTGCCTACACACTCTGGCCACATGACGCCGCGCCCTGTACCAGGAGGAACCTGACAATTTTTGTTTGGACTGACAATCCCTCTGAGGATTTCATCCTGGTACCTAACGGCAGTCAGGGTACGGCTGGCTGTGACATGGAGGTCTGTGTGACCCTCCAAGGATAGGCCTACCCAGACCACCACTGACCCACCACCAAACTGGTCATGCTGGATGATGTTGCAGGCAGCATAACAGTCAACATGGTGTCTCCAGACTCTTTCACACCTGTCACATAAGCTCAGTGTGAACCTGCTCTCATCTGTGAAGAGAACAGGGTGCCAGTGGTGGACCTGCCAGTTCTGGTGTTCTCTGGTGAATGCCAGTCGAGATACACAGTGCTGGGCTGTGAGCACAAGTCCCACTAGAGGACGTCAGGACCCTCATGCCACTGTTTCTGACAGTTTGGTCAGAAACATGCACACCTGTAGCCTGCTGGAGGTCATTTTGTAGGGCTCCGACAGTGCTCCTCCTGTTCCTCCTCACACAAAGGAGCAGATACTGGACCTGTTGCTGGGTTGATGCCTTTCTATGGCCCTGTCCAGCTGTCCACATGTAACAGTCAGTCTGATTGGGCTGCAGGTACCGCCTCATGCTACCAGAACACAAAACTAGAGTAGAATCAGTCAGGAAGGATAAGGAGAGAGCAACTGTCTGTGGCCACCACATGCAAAACCATTCCCTTTTTGGGAGTTGTCTTGCTTTTGCCTCTCCAGTGCACCTGTTGTCACTGTCATTTGCACCAAAGCAAATACAATCACAATATCATGTTATCAACCTACCGCACTCTTTATAGCAGCATCTATGGAGGCTTTAGGCATGTTCTTACTCCTGCACTGCTCCAGTACGTGGGCTAAGTTTATATTCAGGTCTGGGTTGGATCCACCCTCTGCAAAAGAAACCACCATTGAAATTATGTGTAGCTGACGTGAAAACACTCCTTCATTTAAATAGTGTTATTGTCTTTCAGCCAGTTGTTTAATCTCACCTTTCACAGCTATTTTTATCATCATCGCAAACTTCATAAAGATCTTGCCCCTCGCCTCATCCTTGGGTCCCTTGATGTGCTTCACCTTTGACCACTTGTTGTGACCGGCACACAAGGCGGAGCACAGCTGCAGCGTCCTGACAGGAGCGGTCCTCCAAGGCGAGTACAACACGCACGAAGCCGGCGGGAGGACGCACTCCACCGGGGCCAGTAACCTGCCTGAGGTCGCGGCCAGTGTCCGGGGGCGCAGGGTCCGGAGAGCTCTAAGCACCGCCGCCCCCGTCATGCCCTTCACACACACACACACACACACACACACACACACACACACACACACACACACACACACACACACACAACCCGTGTTAATGAATGCAGTGTAACATGCTGTACATGAGGAGGAACGTGTTCAGCAGCCAAACTATGAGCCTCCGTCTGCAGATAAGGCCTTTAACTTTAGAAAATATTCATATTTTTATCGATAAATAAATTAAACAGCCTGAAACTTCCTAACTTACAGTTCTGACAAGTCAGGAGAACACGCAGCTTCAGCTGTCCTTGTTGTGGGACTAGCACTTCCTGATTGCGGCGTCAGAACGTGACGTCATAAATTGGCCCTTCAAAATAAATGCAAAGCAACAAACTGCAGTTTTGTATATGGTAATGAAAACGTATTATATTATATTATATTATATTATATTATGGGAAAAAAAACCAATTTGGGCTGTATAATAATTTCCATTGGTGTTTGCATATCAGTTTGATTTTATTAATTAATAAATAATATAAATGGATAAATTAAATAATTAAACAATAAATGAAATATATATTCTTCATATTATTATTATTGTTTTGTTGTTGTCTTTGTGATACCATTTAATATTATTTGAACTTTAATAATATACATATTTATGCCTTATATTATTAAGTAATATAGCGGTATCTTGTGTTTGTATGTGCTAAATTAAATTAACAAAAAAATAAAGAATATATTATTATTATTATTATTATCATATTTCTTTATTATGTTGTTATCTTTGTATTATTTAATATTATTTGAACTTAATTAATAATATACTTATAAATGACTTAAATTAAAAAGTAATATATTTAGAAGTAATATTTTAGTATGTGCTAAATTAAATAAACAATAGATAAATGTTTATTGTTATTATATTAGTATTGTTATATTTTAGATTTGTATTGTGTTGATGTTATAAGTCTCATCTTTGTCATTTTTATTTAATATTTGAACTTTGATCATTAATGAATAATTATTTATGACTTAATTTAAAAAGTAATATAGTGGTATCTTGTGTTTAGCATGAGCTAACTAATAAACATTTAAATATTTATTTTTCAATAATAACAAAGTGAAAAAAAGTTAAAAACATAAATTACAATTAGTTTGAGCAATGGTAAAGCATTAACAGACATTTTTAGGCACCAGTCATTCATGTAAACATTTCACAAACTGTGAGCCAGATCCATTAATATATTTCCCATGCAGTTTATAAACTAGCCATTTTTTTATATGTGTATATTTATTCCGATACATGTCAAACACACCCCGTTCATTCTGAGCTGTACTGAATGAGGAAAATAAGTCATAAATCCTGAACCATGGGAACCTGAAACCTCTTAGAGGACCCCTGGGTGTTTCTGGTTGGGATTTGGAACCACTACACCATATCAGCACAAACGTTCAAGAAGTGATCCCAAAATATAACAGCAACATGAGCCAAAACGTAATTCATCTCTCTCATATGATTTGTGTATTCATGATATCAGCTAGTGTCAGGGAGGTTATCACTGGAGATTATAGGTTCCATCTAAACAGTACGCATGAGCCTGGTCTGTATCAGTGTCCTCTAAAATGTCCCAGCGTGAGAACTAGAAAAGAAATGTTGGTCTATTGCCATGGGACCAATTTATTAAATCGTACTGCTTCTATTTATGATAATAGGGCATCATAATAATAGGCTATGATCCAGTCCAGGATCTGAAAAACAGGGACATACTGAACTGGATTTCTTAACATGTGATGAATACGTGCGCAATTGGATGGTGAAAGCAAACTGTCTGACACACTAACAGGACGGCAGAGACAGATGGCCACAGCAGAGGAGCACAAAGAGTTAAGTGAGATGGAAAGCTCAGCCAATAAAGGCCAACCCATCTCTGTAGACAACAGTCCAAAGAAGTGTTAAAGGAGGAGATTTCATCCACAGTGCTCCCCTCTTCTCTCCCCTCATGACAGTCTGACTCCTACATGGTCCCTCCAACCTGACCAATGATGTCCACTGAGCCTCGAGGGGAAGCCTGGAGAGAGGAGACAGTTTTCAAGGATCATGTCTGGATGTCAGAATACCTCAAAGCTGAAGAAGATACTAAAAGGCAGTTCTTGAACAAAAGCACAAGGAGCACAGATTGGACACCAGAGAAGAGGAGTCCCTAACTTTGAGTTCCTGTAACGCAACCCGAGGAGGATGAGATGATCTGATATTGAGTAAAGTCCAGCTGAAAAGACGTCATGTTGTCTGCACAAGGAACTGGTGTGTTGGCTCTTTTCCACAGTGTCATAATAGTCACTGCACTGGTGAGTATATTCTACTTATCCTGAGTGATTGAGTTATTGATTACCTCATTGGTTGAATGGCTTACACAACTCTTGTTTACCTTTCATAGATTTCGTTTCTTTTTGCTTTGCTTTTACTTTTATTCCCTCAAAATAAACACAAATATTAGCAATACTTGAACAATTTTTATTTTTAGAACTTGTGCAAACATAATTTTTAGTGGGCTCATTCTCATATTTAAAGGAAAGCACCACCTTAAATAAAATGAACACAACATTAAGTTTAATTCTGAGTCTCTTTGTCCAGTGTAAATTCATCAACGGGTGGTTTGTACATTCTAAATTTATAATTTTCACACATTAGCATCATATCTTACACTTTAACACAACGCTGAGTCAGAAATGATTCTCCCATACTGCTGCACTTTGGGCCAAATAAGGAAAATATCATGTATGTGTGACTGTCTTTGATCGTCTGGATTTTGGACATAGATTTATCTCGCACTTCAGGGAAACGTGCCAGCCATTCACCAGCAACACTGACCATACATTGATGATTGGTTCTCCTTAAAAACAAATAAAAATAATAATAATGCTGAACAAACCCACCTCAAATGATTATTTAAAATAAAATAAAAAAATATGATTTTTTTTTTTTAAATAATTATGTTTAATTAAGAAAATGTGAAATAAAATAATAAAATTTTAAAAAGCAGCAGCTAAATAAAAACTATTAACTAATCATGAACAACAAAACAACTAATTAATTATAGGAGATATTGCAAATTTGCCTGCAAAATATTTTGCCCAAATAGGAAAAATACTCTGAAAAAATAAGGGGATTGCAAAGGCAACACACACACAAACAAACACACTTACTTGCGCAAGGATTAAGTCCCTTTGGAAATATTAATCAAATCAAACCAAATCAAGTTGACTGTCAGTTTAACATATATTTCTATGGAGGGCAGAATGAGAGAGCATGTCTCTGGGATCGAACAACAAACATTTAGAAAGCACAACACAGTCCCTTAGTCCACATACCTAAGACCTGTAGAGTGCAAGTTACAACAGCAAACACAATTAAACAACAGTAGAATAAAATTGTAAAAAATATGTTTGTGATTTTGCCTAAGGGATGCCAGTTTTTGGAGAAAGGATCCACCAGATATCTCCCTGATTGAGACATAACCCTGTCAAAAAAAAAGTCATCAATCAAAACCGTCAGTCATCCCAACAGCAGCAGTGAAACCACACAAACCAAGAGCCCTTAATCTCCACCATCACAAATCACCTGTGGTTCTGCTTTACCTCACAAACCCTCCATCAGCGCTGACCCCTTTAACCTTTCACCCACTGAAGCATGATCGGCGTCACCGCTGAGCCCCGTCCTCTTCATCTTCCCCGAGTCGATCCTGAATGTTGACCTCAAGCAGACTTACAACCTCCTGCTCAGTCAGCCCGAAAATCACTTTACATGAAGCACGTGAGGACTGAAATTCAATTATGGCACAAAGGCGAGGAGATGTCTGAGCCTGATTGTTTTGCTAACACTCCCCGTTCGTCAGCAGAAACCCCTCCTGTGCAAAGACAAGTGAATGACTTCTTCGTATTGACTTGCATGTGCTGAATTATTAGGATGTTTTGTTGAGGCACAGGTGGATAAAACTTTATCTAATTGTGTAATCGACATGGGTTTAAATGGGATAGCCAGTGCAGCCCCAGTGTGTCTACAGTCCGCTATAGAACAACAAGTGGTTTGAGCTGCTCAATATGTCTGTATTGATTTTGGCTCAGAGTCCCCTCCCAAAACAAATGTAGGGAATTATAGCTGTTCAGCATTCTGAGCGCTACAATACTGAAAACACTTCTCACCCACTGGTGGTTTATTTTAAAGACCTATGCCAAGAATGTTAGTTATCACATATCCATCAACATGAACAGTTCCAGTTGGGCTTCAGTCTGTTTAACAGGGGTGAGAAGTTTCTGTAGCCTGCCAGTAAATACTCAGATCCTTTACTTAAGTAGAAGTACCAATACAGAAAAAAAATACAAGAAAAACTCCCATTTTTAAAATCCTACTTTAAGTAAGATGTATTAGTCTTTATATAGTATCAAAAGTTAATTGCACATTCCTCTGAAAAGTGGCCCCTGTCAGGGATCAAAATCACTATATCACCTCTTTACAGACTAGGTTGTTTATTTCTCTTTCTTTGTATCTCCCTCTGCCTAATCATCTCTCTCACCGTCCTCCTCTGTCAGTCAGACCATTCTCTTGTGAGTTCTCTCGTTGCCAGTTTTGCTGCTCTGTTGTGAAATGTACTCAGGAGCACAAAGCCGCTTGTGTAGATGAGCTCTCATCAGCACAGTCGAGGTCCTGAGGACATGGCCCCCATATGGCCAGCGGCAGACAGAAAAAAAAGGGGGTTGGCGAGGGATCATGACATACCGCACCCTCACACAACTATTTCACAACACCCGGAGGCAGCACATCAGATCCTTGGGAGGGTTTGTGTTTGGTAGATCGCCCGGGCTGGAAAGAGACTTCAGAGAGACTTCTGATATGAAACTTTTAACGTTTTTGGGTACCTTAAAAGATGGATAAATGCAAGACTTGTAGCTGCTCCTCAGGCTTGGATAAATACCGGATAAGACAATCAAACCCCTGTAATATATCACAACCAATTTTTGCTGGAGAGAATGAGGTCGTCATGCAAATTAAAGTAGCCTATTTTAGGTTTATTTCAAGTAGCAGTTTTATAACACAGTTTTAAAGGGACAGTTTACCCCCAAATCAAAATGACACATTCCCTCTTACCTGTAGTGCTGTCAATTATCTAGATTATTTAGGTGTAAGAGTGCTGGAGATAACAGCCGTAGAGATGTCTGCCTTCTCTCCAATATAATGGAACTAGGTGGCACTCAGCCTGAGGTGCTCAAAGCGCCAAAAATATATTTGAAAAACTCAACAGCAATGTTTCTTTCTAGATTTCATGACCCAGTTACTCAAGATAATCCACAGACTTTGTTGCGAGCAGTTTCATATAG